TAGTAGCCATCTTTAAAAAGCATGATACAATTAAAGAACCAAATCAAAGGAAAGGGAGTGTAAAGGGCTCCAGATAATTCCCAGTAAGGGTTATCAGCTCCCACATAATGGAGGGTTGATTATACTTTATTTTCCCGTTATTAGAGGGGAGGTAAAGCTCCACGGAGGTAGGAAAGGTGCACCTGGAAGAGATCGGAAATATTCCTGACTTGAGAAAAGTGTGCCTTTAAAACATGATGTTGGCTTTGGAATATACCATTACAAGCACGAAAGGTCAGAAAAGCTTCCTTCACAAATTTGGTAAGACGGAGCAGTTAGCTGTAACAGAGTGCAACCCTGGAGGTCACAGACCAAGCTAAGAGAAATAATTATGCATGGTAATGGGCAATTACAGATAATGGCCTTCCGGGGGTGGCAGAAAGTACACAGCCCCACAGTCTAGCCTGGAATGAACATTGAATAGCACATTAACTTTATAGCGAGCTAAAAGTTCAGCCCTGAAACAGCAGCAGCCCCCCAAATAAATAAAATCCCTGGCTTACTTAAGGGGAGCACCGTAGCTGTATTTCTCAAAAGCAGAAGTGAACACAAGAGGAGGTGGGGCTGGGGGAGACGGAGTTTGGGGAAGAGAAGGAATGGTAAGCTCTTCTCCACTTGGATGTATTTGTCTCACTAAGTAGAGATGGTTCCGGGCGAGGCAGGTACACAGTGAAGAAGCTGTTTACTTTCCTGGCGCTAGGCTTGTGTTTGACGTTTAAAATAGCCCCGTCATGGTTGTCTTGTGGGAGAAACAGCTTGTTCCCGCATTTCCTGATTATGACTTTAGGGAGTGATAGCACACTGACTGCACTCAAGGCTACTGTCTGACCTCAGAGAAGGCCAGGAGCAGAGAGTTCTGCTCCTTCCCAGGTTCATTCGCACCGGGAAGTCACACCAGGTGCAGCCCAGGCCTCCTGCGGCACCCTGAAGACGAACATTTGGAGCAAGGGTGACTTTGCAGAGTTACTTGGTGGCTCTCTTGCTGGATGGCAGAGAAGGTTATCGGTGTATTGTGACTGTGATCATAACAATAGCTAGCATTTATTGAGCACTTACCAGGTTTCTCTGCTCTCTATGGTGTAAGTGGCAGCGTTTTCCTCGTGCACATATAGATACTGAGGCACAGAACTAAGTAATCCTTTCCAAGGTCCCGGGGCAGTAGATTTCAGAGTTGATCAAGCATTTTGATTTGGGAGCCAGCTTTCTCAGCCTGAGGTTCTGCTGCCTGGCTGTTTTGTAGTGGTGGATGTCTTCCTCACTGGAAGGAATGTTCCAGGTTCAAGGATAGACCCAGAGACCTCCGTTGGGACTTTAGTGCTGATGGCTGAGCTCAGGGAGCTAGCTCAGAATGAGACTCTGGACTCTGGTTGTTCCGAAATCGGTCCTTCTGGAAAGAGAGAAGCTCATAAGACAGAGGTCCTCAAACTTTTTCGTCAGAGGACCCCCTTCACACTCTTAAAAATTATCCACGGCTTCAAAGAGCTTTTGTGTATATGCTGTAGCTTTAAATATTTAATGAATTAGAAATTTAAGACTCAGAAATTAAAACTATAGTTATTAATTTCTTTAAAATAGTAAATCCACTGCTTGTTAATATAAGTAACATTTTAATGAAAAATAAGTATATTAAAAAAATGAGTGAGGAGAGTGGTATTATTTCACATTTTTGCAAATCTCTTTTATGTCTGGCTTAATAGGACACAGCTGGGTTCCCATATCATCTTCAGTCTGTTTTGATTGAAATACATGAAGAAAATTCAGCTTCACATAAGTAAAGAGAGAAGGGAGGAAAGAATTTGAATAGCCTTTTCAGATCATCGTGACTATTCTTTGACACTAGATCAAAACTTGACAAGTAATAATTTTGTAGCAGTTATAGTGAGTCTGAAATTACGCTAATGAGCTTTTTGTTAAATTAAACCCATTGAGCCATCCTGCCCTTTGATTGGATCTTCCACCCATGCATGATTTCATAACCTCATGCTTTGGTCATGTGGGAAATATTAGTTGACAGAGTTATGCATTTTTTCCAAATGTTGACATGTTTCGTCACAAAATATCACTTTATCCCACTCATTACTATATTACTGATCTCATCAAAAGAGTCTTTAAATTGGGAAGCTGTCAAACACATGGTAGCGGCCCTAAGTTTTCCAAAATTCTAATTTTTACTTGAAAGCTCAGACTTATAGCAATAAATGCTGTTAGTTTTTCCTGAAGTGAGAGGCTCACTATGCTGATTTCCAGAAGATTGTGCCAGATACCCAAGTCACAGTAACCATACTTTTCATTGGTCATTTTTTCAAGTATATGGCATTGTCGATGTCAGAAATGTTTGAACCTGTAGGAAATTTCTGTAAGAGCTTATTTGAGCCAAAACTGACGATGACTGTCAGGAAGCAAGATCTCAGATACGCTGGAGAATGACAATTTTGCAGTTTCTTTTGTGCATTTGGAATTAAGGAGGGAATTTAGGATTATGTGAAGGTGGGAGAAAGTAAGATGAAGTTGGATTACAGGGTAATTAAAATGCTTATGTGCTCTCTTGAGGGTGGTGACGCTTCTGAAGGTCTGAAAAGAGGCATTTCAAAGGTGTGTTAACCTAGATGCACAGAAACAATGGATAGGGCCTGTTTAAGGTAAAGATAAACCTAACGAAGTTATATGCCGGGGCCTGACTCCCACCATAACCTGCCCAGTTAGGAATTTATGATAAGATCACCCTGTGTGGCTACTTTCCATAGAACCCCTTTTTTGTCCACTGTGTTCCAATAAAAGAAGCAGTGAATTTAGCTCTTCACTTAAACATTTGCACAGGGGCCCTTTTCAAGACAACCGTCACCCTGTGGTGTGCAGCAGAAATATTTCATGAGTGCTTCCCATCTTGTCACACAATCTTAAAAAGACACACTCCAAAGTAGAGATTTGATGAAGTTATTTTTTTCTGCTTCACCAGGGCATCTTTAAGCAACGTTGACACAGAATTTAAAAAAACCCTTGAAAGGGAAGTGTGGACAGGGGGCCTCCAATCCCATGTTTGGAACTACTACAGTAAGATGGCATTAAGACACCAACCTCTGCCGAAACCAGTTTGGCTCAGTGGATACAGCGTCGGCCTGCGGACTGAAGGGTCCCGGGTTCGATTCCGGTCAAGGGCATGTACCTTGGTTGCGGGCACATCCCCAGTGGGAGATGTGCAGGAGGCATCTGATCGATGTTTCTCTCTCATCGATGTTTCTAACTCTCTATCCTTCTCCCTTCCTCTCTGCAAAAAATCAATAAAATATATTAAAAACAAAACAAAAAACACAAAAAAAACACCAACCTCTGAGAGGGTTAAAGCAGTTCTCAACC